ACTCGAAAACGTTTGTGCTTAAGCTCCCTAGTTACCGGTCCGGTTCTGTAGGTTAACTTTTGATAAATGTCATAATAAAATTTACGTAAAAGGTTTATGAGACAAAGGTGCCTTCTGCAGTACATGAATGACTCTTTACAGATGAACTGGTCTGTGATATGACTGTACATGTGCACTTGCCTGTCAGTGGCATCTAAAGGATTCCCTGTTCCTCCATAACCGCAATAACAGCCATAGTCGACGTAATACAAAGAACTTCGTGACGTGGTACACTTAATCATGTTGTGAAACTGAACAAGATTTCTCTGGGTACGGGTAAAGTCACCTGTAGATGACACAAGTAAAATGCACGGGGAAGAATTATCGCTAAGCTACTATTTATCTTATTGCTGTTGGGAAGCGAGAGAACCAGTTAGCAATTCAGGCGCTTGAACTCATAGCGTTCTATCAGGGATAAGAATACGGCTCTCCTTCAACATACTTTATACAAACTGAAAAAAAAAACATCCATTTCCCATTCTCGCTTATCCGAATGGCCACAAATGTCCTTTGCATTTCATTAAGAAAGATTATAGTATCTCCAACAAGAAAACAAGTCAAGATGAGACATTCGCTCCGACGAAGGGCTAACGCTCGAAACGTCAGCTTTTGTAATCGTTACGGTGGCCAATTTAACACTTCAACTTTGTTGATATATCCAAGATGAGACTTGAACGAATGCGAAATAAATTAGGACCTTTTGTTCTCTCATAACTTAGCCTTTTCGAAAAGAGAGATATAAGAGGGCGAAGAAGCAGTGTCATCATAGGTTTTACAAAGTCATACATTATTTTATCCTCACCTGAAGTAGACGAACTGGTTATTTTCTTTTCCAAGTCTTGTTGAGGTTCATCCTGTAACAACGCGAAAAATGAGACGCAATATAAAGGCGTGGTCTTAGAGTGTTTTCAAATCCACGCACATCTACATATATTCACCTCTACGGTGAGCAGGATTTACCCTATGAAAGGAACTATTATAATAGAGAAAGACCTCTTTTACAGAATGCACAAACTACTGCTTTCTTCAAAGGACCTTTGTTAAAAATTTGCGTTAAGTGAAAGATTTAGCTGTTACGTTCCTATGTACAGTTCTTTAAATCATATCCATGCATCGTTTCATTCTTTTTTGAGGGGTGTATCGTTTCTTCTTATGGTATTGTACAGTCCTTGCGAGCTCTTTTGTAAGGGGGCTACTATGATCCGAACAACTATAATATAAGATTCAAACACAAACAGGACTACTTTCGAAAAAATTTTTTTTTAATGGGTCTGCAGGACTGTGGAATACTCTTCCACCCAACATGAAATGTATAACCTCGCTCCCAACATTTAAATCTAAATCAAACAAACTATACTTTTTCAAACTTGACTCGTACAGTCCTCCAGATTAGTATTTTATAATCTTAAATAACTTGCCTTTCTGGTAACTTTTTTAGCTTTTTTTATTGTATCCTTTTACTTTTTTTGTTATATAATAGGGGTTAGGTGTCAATTGAGACGAAAGTTCCGTTCCTCTCTCCTGCCACTCCATTTTTACTTTTTCTTTCTTGGTACTGTGTGATGTACATTAGTTATTTGTATTTGCTGAACTGTGGCGAATGCATTAAACTAAATTAAACTAAAATAAACTTAAAAAAATTAATGAAATGGGATTTAGCAGTGGACATACGATCCATGAGATAACTCTTCATGTCCCCTGTTTCTAGGTCGAATTAGAATCTAGAAGGGACTTTAAGCAAACCCGGACGGCTACGGCAACGAGAACATGGAAAAACAATAGATCTAATTGGCAGAACAATAGCCCAGCACGTGGGTATTAAAACTTTGTACATTTCTTAGCCGTTCTTTGCAAAACAACAACGTGAAATCACCAAAATTTGCGTCGTCTGCGAAGCGAAACCGCGGCGGCAAATTATTTTAATTTACATTTGGAACTCCACGCTACTTTTATGCGTTATGTTAAGTTTGAGTTCTGGCGCCCTATGAGACGGTAAACACATGCAGCCATTTTCGAAATTCTAACTAAAAGTAGAAACTCATTTTTTAATCGACGTCTTCCGTGGCGTTGCCGTCCTGACTCCTTAAAGTCCCTATTTACTGGTTTTTGTGGAGGGAGGAAAATCGGAGGACCAGGAGACACTCCCTGGGAGCAAGAACGAGAACCAACGACGAACGCAACCCACATGTGACACCACGGGCCCGTTTCTCGAAAGTCATGGTAACTTAACGGGCCCGAAGCGAGAGGTGGGCTATGTTTTAAAATCAAAACTTAAAAGATAGAAAAGCAGGTTCTGGCACCCAAATCAGTCCATTTTGCTTCTATAGCTGATAGTTTTATTGTATTATTTTCAAAACTTTTGAAATCCCCATCATGAATGAAAACAAAACAGCTATACGGGCCCGTTTAGTTACTGGGACTTTCCTGGAATCCGGGAATCAAACCCGGGCCACAATGGCAGAAGGTGAACGTTCTCACCACTTCGCCCTCCCTTCCGACCTATCTCTTAAGTTACAATTAGAGGTGATTTTCAAAAATACAGAATTATCTTTGCGATAACTCCCTACCTTGTGAGATGGGAAAGAGAACGCGGAAGATAAGATGACAATCGTTAGCACGATTATTCCCTGCATTGTGTTGTTTGTTCCCTTCTCGGAATTCAGATCAGTTCTGCAAAGTACCTTCTCTCCAATAACCAGAGTTGCAGTCACTGAAAGTTGGCTAAGCTAAGCATCGTTCTTTATCCCTGTGATCTCTTATCTTATTTAGAAATCTATATCGCATGAGTTTTTCACATGACATTGTCACTTTCTTAAAAACATGTGGGGTGTGAAACGATCATCTGTTCCAGCTGAAACAGTGACAAGACAATGAATCAGAAATAATGAAAAACATCACTGCGTAGATTAATAAAGTGCGAATCTAAGTGTCCTTAGAAGAGCACACTGCTTACACCCTTCATCCAAAACGCCAGTGAAATTACAGCTGCGGGGATTCAACTTTCGTTCAAAAACCGTGTATCAAGAAAAGTGGCACAAATTTCATTACAATAGGCTTTGTTAGACAAGCGAAAAATGACCCTATATGGCCATTTTTTAACAATGGCGCAACAGCTTCAGAACACACTAGGGATTTGTCGAAGTTTCCGATTAGCATACGAGCGGGAGATTTAAACGCTCGGAAAGACTAGACTTTAGTTTAGAACTATGACGACTTTAGTTTAGAACTATGACAGTTTCTGGAGAAAGATTTATACGGAGAGAGGTGGTCTGAATGAGGCACAACGTATTTTGAATTCTATATGTGTGCATTGCCACATTAGCGGTCAATTTTTTTTTGGAGTAGACCAATGAGAGTTGACTCGACGAGACAAATTTACGCTACCCAATTCTCCGAAGCGGCTAAATCAGCGTTTAATTTTCCCTTGGGGTACTCTGGTGACAATTTACCTGTCGTGTGCAAATATGCGCTACCTACTCTTCCAAAATAGCTTAATTATGATGCCAAAAATTTTTTTCCGATCAGTCACGGACTTTTTCGCGTCGCTTCGGCCAAAGTCCCTCAGCGCTACAAAGAACGAAAGGACTATTGATTACTACTTAATGTGTGAAATTGAGCCGGAACAATAGACCATTTCTTGATACTACTCGCAAAGATCGCAATTATCAGATTTTCGATGGGGACTCATTCTTTCTGTATTTTTTTTTCTGTATTGAAAATGGCCTTGAAACGTAAAAAAGTGAGTAAATCGACCCTGCGCACCCCTAATAGGCACGGGCAGGTAAACCATGAAGTACATTTCAGAAGAGATATTATTATGATAAAAAATGAAAAAAAAAATTAAATTCGCGCTTAGGTTTTAGCTGTAGCGAAACTGGACGGGTTTCTTTGCCCAAAAGGGCGCATTTTCAACTTATCGGAATGGAAAATTTTATTGATGGTTTTTAATTATATATTCAGCAGCTTAATAGAAGAATCACAGTTTAAAATTGCAGCTGACCGGACAATATTTATTCAATAAGGATTTGAATTATGCAAACCACTAACGAGACGTAGACTCCATTTAACTATATGACTAGTAGTCGTAAACATTTGTGATAAGCCCGTGCGAAAACTTTAAGGGTTCCGAGAATGGATGATTAAAAATATAAAAATTTTACACAAAGATTTGTGTTTGAGTACAGTGTACTTATCAAACACTCATAACAAGTGGGGATACACGGCCGAAAGTAACTGACACTTGAATTCCTTATCAACCAAAAAATAATCGTAATTCTTTAAAGAGCACCATTGCCATTTCCATTAATATATGATATCATAGCATTAAAACCAGAAAATAAACCTTTATTCAAAGTTTAACGGAATCAAAGTTACTGATTTTCACCCCTTATGCTTTGTTTTATGATTCTTATGCTTGAACATCTTTGCATCCAGATTTCATTAAAACAAAAAATGTGTGTTATGGGTTTGAAGCTGACTTACCACATTGGGATACCATATGGATTCACGTTAGTGATGAAGTTTTTTTCCTATGGGATTACGTAATGAGAACAAAAGAGCTGCGCGTGTTGGGGATACACGGCTGAAAGTATCTGACATTTGAATTCCTTATCAACCAAAAAATGATTGTAATTCTTTAACGAGCACCATTGCCATTGCCATTAATATATGATATCATAGCATTACAACCAGAAAATAAACCTTTATTCAAAGTTTAACTGAATCAAAGTTACTGATTTTCACCCCTTAGTCTAAAAGCTAACAAATAATTTCCAGGCCACTTTAACTCCTCAAGTATTTAATTTTGGTAGAAAAAAAAAACCCTCTAAAATTTTTGTTAAGTAAAGTCACGGTGTTCCATGTTTTTTTTTCCATAGAAAACAACCACCTGAAATTTTTGAGTTGAACTTCCTTTCACATCACGTATTCATAATTAAAATGACCTATAAGAGTGACGCGAATCTGCTGAAATAGTGTCCCAGTTTTTCAAAATCAAACAAGTCTGCTCGCGATTCCACAAAAAAGATTCAGAAAATGGAGCGATTAGTTTTCCTTCTTCACTGCTTGGCCATTTTTCAGGTGACAATGGCTACAAGTCCTCTCGATCAGGTACGGCACACTTTTGGTGGGGAAAGGGAAGTATTTTTTGCAAGTCAGTGGACATTAATTTGTCTAAGTACGGGGAAAAACAAATAAAGGGGAGCGGAGTAGTATAACAAGATAATTTTGGTTTTATGAACTGAGTTGATCATGTAATTTAGCCACTGTAAAGGGTTTCAAAGCTGACGTTTCGAGCTTTAGCCCTTCGTCAAAGCGAATGGAAGAATTGTGGGTTGTGTGTGGATTGTTGTCTGGGGAAAAACACTGACTTCAGCGTTTTCTTAAAAAGGCATTCCTTCTTCATAGGGAACCCACTCATAAGGATTAAGTCACTAATATCTTAAGGAATAAAAAGTTTAGATCATTATTTTTCCTATTTCAATATAGGTCCTCAATTTTATTCCTCTGGCTAAAAACTCTCTCGCAGGGAACAAATGGCGTTAAGCGAAAAAATGATCACTGAACACTAAGAAAAAAATGGTAACTGAAAATGGTGATAAGATCAGATAAGAACAACGCCTCTCGTGAAACTATGTCCGTATTTCAATCAAGGTCTAAGTAAAACCAGTTCCAAAGTATTTCTAATTTGAAGGTGAATAGTCGTTGCGCACGGTTTGTGTCGCGCATTTCAAGACTTGAGAAACTAATTTTTCTCATACACATGGCGACACTGCTGGGTGCGTAATCATTCAGAGTTAATGTCTCTTAACTTATAGAACTGTTATTCGGGATGAAACTACTTCGGCTCTTACCCCAACTTGCATTATCTGAGCAAGTGAGAGCGACGGAAAAATAACGCATGCTTTAGACGGAAATAGCATTTCACTAAGCTTGAATTTATTATAAGTACTTACGGCAGTTATTCACCGACTAGTATACTGACGTGTTCTCTTCATTTTCAATAGGATCGAGAAGGGATCTTGGCACAAAAAGGTTTCTTTTAAGTATAGTTTTATTACAATATGTCGAGTAAAGTCATTACCGATCACGTTTTTCAAGATACAGACGCAACAAACTTCCAAAAATACTTTCCTTTTTTCTTCCCCCTGCTTAATCCACAGCACTAATATATGAATTGATCGACAGAGCTGAATAACGAAATTTTACGTCAAAGGTATGCGGTCAACAACGCGGACACAAGCGTGCGAGGTTTAAAATTTAGCGAAATTTTCGAAAATAATAAGGAGCTGGCATTTAAAACCGACGTATTTTGTTGTCGTCGATTACATTTTCCTATTTCCAAAGTTTTAAAGGGGAAAGTTAATTTTCGAAAATATTCAGGGGGTGTACAAAGCTTTTGGAGGTTGTTCTGTAAGAGAAAAGCGGCTAGGTAAACAACACCTCGAAGCAACAGAATAGAAAATCAACAGTGCGAACGACTCAAAAACCGTTTTTCCGCGCCAAAATCTAGCGCGTGCGCATACGTTATTCAGCTCTGTCGAATTCGTCACTAACTGTGCCCTCAGCCTAAAGCAACTAGATGAGCAATAGCAGTAAATCTTTGGATCATATGATTTTTCCACAAAGCCTAAATTTCTCTTTTAAGGTAAAACTTTTCGTTTTGGCGACAGCAGTGGATGAGGAAAGATATGCCTTAATCTAATCTAAATAGATATATGTAGACAGTACTTAACAGAAACAATAGCTTCGATTTCCGACCCAAGAAGGTAGGGTCGTTTTCTATGTCCTGCTGTGCGTTAAAAGCAATCTCTTTTCTTTTTTTTTTTTTTTTTTTTTTTTTTTTAGTAGAAAGTGCTGATTCCCCCATAACATCTCCTAATGCAAGAAGCATTTTGGAATTCGGTCTGATGATTATATGCGGAGTCAAAAGAAACCCCTTGGACTATAATGGTTATGGTTGCTACTGCGGACTAGGTGGACAGGGAACACCAGTTGATGATGTAGACAGGTAAGTGGCAAAATGAAAAACTCGATAGCCGTGACACACAACGCAGATTAAAAATTCTGCCTCTTATCTTTGCCCGGTCGACCACACGATGCTGCAATTGCAAATTAAAACTCTCCAACAGGATCAGAAAGAAGAGACCAGCATGATCGAATAGAGGACAAAGTCAAAGCAATCAAAATAATTTGAAGAAAGGGCTTGGGTATCCATGATTCGGTCAACTGTTTAAAGCTTTGACAGTACAGGAGAAGCAAAGATTCCGAGATTTCACCAGCCGAGGGCAATCTTTCCTTTCTAAACATTATTCGCGATTCTGTTTAATAAGAAGGCAGCCTACCTTGGCAACCGACAAGTCAGGTTTTGCGACCGTGAACTCGGTAAGAAATTTTCAAGATGTACGCAAAATTTAGTCGCCTCGCTAACTGCATGAACCAGCCACGGTTGACCAGAACAGTTTCTCCCTCGCTTCAAATATTCGGTTCTTGAAATCTTATGGAGAAATAAGGAACAGTCAGACGAAGCTCTGTCTTTCTCAGTTGTTTCTCACAAAAAAAGAAAAATAAAACCATCTATAATTTGAACATTTTGAAATGTGACTTCGTATGCAGCATGTATATTTATTTCACGCTTTGATTCTTGTTGCTCTTTACACCCTAACATCAAATTACATATTCTCCATACTCTTTACTATATATTCCTAATGGAACAGACAGGAAGAATTTGTTAAACAATCAAGAGTTTTTTAATTGGTGATCCTTTCCTTTATTCTCGCGACATTGATGTTTGATTCGGGAGTGACCTTGTAAGGAGAAATTAGACGTAAGTCACACACATATGGGCTAAAGGGATAACAGTCTTGCTTTGCCGCCAGATGTTGCCAAATACATGATGCTTGCTATAATGCAGTGCAGAACTCGGGCGCTTGCACGTTAGATTTGGCAATCTATGCCATGCCTTATGATAGGAAAGGCTGCCTTGGATGCGGTAAGAATTTACTTTTATTAATTAGTACAAAAAAATTATACACAACAAGTGCGGGGTATGGCTGAAGATAGTACCATGTGCCGTAATAATTTAGATTGTAAGACGACTTCCTCTTTTAAACCCAACAACCGAGACAAGCCTCAAGATTAGTTTGTCTAGTTCAGGGGTGTACTTTGACCACAGATAACGGTGTTGCTGTAATTTTAGGGCATTCAACCCTACGAAACGCTTCAGCCCTGGGCTGGGCTTGGGTTTTTAGGCCCGGTCGTCCTTCGAAGAACCGACCAGGCTAGGAACTCCCAGTACTTCTCTTCAGCTAGTGCCTTCCTTCGATGGAGCGTCAATTTTGCTATAACCCTAATTCAGCTCAAAACCTCCCTTGAGCTTGGTTTTCTCAGCCTTTCCTCTTACAATATTTGCTTAGAAAAACTGGTAAAACAAAATAAACGGGTTGTAATTGATAGATCATTCTCGGCCAGATGTACAAAACCTAATCAGTCAGTTTGGTTACGATTAGTGGCATGCTAATGACTATATATAGGGACTAGCGATTCGCTACTTTTAATTGCAAGTGGCGAAACAGGGTCCTTCATGAGAACCGGAATCTTCCCCTTGAAAAAGTCGTAATTTTTTTATACTGTTATGTGATAACATTATATTGGAGATCTACTCCTACTCCTACATCGCGCTTGTATTACCGGTGGTTTGTTGACTGAAAAAATTTGTTTTTCATGTTAAAGGGATATAACATTACTGACTGTTCAGATATGATGCACTCTCTCTTCAGAGCCTGCTAGTCATTACTGGTTTTTCGGCGAGTGTCGGAACTCTTTGTGTGTGTGTGACTCAGAGGCTGTCCAGTGCTTTCAGAGGGCTACGTTCAATGATGCTTACAAAGATTATTCGCAAGAAAAATGTTAAAAATGTAATTCTTGAAACATGAAGTGATTGTTCAATGTATTAAAAAAAAAAACGCTATTGAAAAAGGCTGTATTTGTCTTGTCATATCTGACAATGTGTTATATCTTTCACTAGCACTCTTGTCAATGTTACAGGGCCAGTTTCGCCTTTGATGCTGCATATTGATGCAAACGTCCTTTTCCAACAAATGAAAAGTAAAAAAAAATTATAAATATTTTGTGGCGTCCAGCACAATTTCCGTCAATCAGGATCATTTATGGTCTCGTACCAGACATTTCACGGCCAAGCGGTTGTAATAGTTTCCACCTCTTCCCACCATATTTGAAAAATCTACTTCACCCCCCCCAACCATCTTTAAGTATAAAAAAGCTGGTGCAGTAAATATATCTTATTAACAAAGCTCGAGGGCCGTACCGGGAGAATATCGGCCCGAGGTCTTGACAGTACGCGCGAGGTCCATACAAAAAAGAGCGAGGGCCGATATTCTTCCAGTACGGTCCCGAGCAAGCTTGGTTAATAAGAGATTTATCATACGACTGAAGTTCAATGGGACACAAGTGCGGTATCATTGGGGACCATTCGGGACAGTGCTCGGTCCAATACTGAGAGAATATTGGACCGACAATAGAGCATTTTGATAGGTTGATTTTAGTCTGACTGCCCGAGTCGTGTAATAAGTCGTCCATAGCAATTGTCCGAAAAAAAGTAGTACATGAAAAGGTCCAATGGTCGAAAAGTCAGTTATACTCTTGCATCTATGATCTTAAGGCAAATGATATGATCCATCTCAGGAATGTGCCGTTAAGATTATCAAGAATAAAGCTATCCTCCCTGGAGAGCTGTTATGTCTGTGTAATGTTGAATAGTTTATAACGCAAGGTTAGCTTTTATTCTTATTTGTTGTTTTAGACAGATTGTGTCTTCGTCGAGAGTTTCAACTCTAAAAAGCCCTGAAATTTATTGATACCTGTCGGGAAAAGATCGGAGCACGAATAGTAGGAAATGGTCCACGTGTTGCATCATGCACAACAGTACGTCCCCAACACACCTTGAACTTTAAGCGTCACGCGCTCCGAAAAGAAAGAGCTCAGTGCGCAAACTCAAAGCGTGACCGAACCCCTTTTGTCACGTTTGCATTACAATGTTTTCTTCTTACCCCTATCACGTGCGTCCTAAGTGACCTTTTGTCATGGAAAGTCACCAAGGTCAAATAAGCCCTTCCAAATCATTCTTAATGCTCAATCCCTTTTTTCGTCTGAAATATAACCATCCTCATTTAACTTTTATGCGGTTCGAATAGTAGCTGCTTCGAATTGTTGGTAATCTTTACGGTTTAAAGCCCCGAGGGTTTGTTGGATAGTCAACAAAATTATGCACGGGGATGCTCTGTCTGCAGTTCTGAACCTAAATTATATTTCTGGTGTTCTACTCTTCTAAACAAATTAACTCTTTTGATTGAGTCTTTTCCCCTCCATTTTTTGATCAATGCTACCTGCCAGAAAAAAATATCCCCAGTCGGACGGTTCGTTCCTGTCGCAGCCTATGACAAGTAGTATCACGTCCGTCTTCCCCCAACGCTAAGCATGCACGAGGCTTAAATTCTGCAGGTCACCTTGAACTATCAAAGGTTGCTTTTGGAGCGTGCTATGGAAAAAAGGGAAAAACGCGAGAAAATTGTCAAAAAATAAAAGAGATAGTGGCTACTCTCCTTTCTTTCTCCATTAGAGAATGTTTTCGGCGTCTCGACCCCTGAGCATGCTTTCCCGGAGACAACGCTGAAGCTTTGTATCTAGTCGTTATGCAACGAAACGTTCGGAGTCGCCCTCCCCAGTCACGCTAACCGGAAACGGAAGTTGCCCATCGCGTTCCAAATTTTCCCTTTACACCAGAATACGTGTATTTTTTCAGGTTATGAAGTTTAAAAATGCCAGTTCACTTACATTCTATTACATTTCTACATACTGTTGAACTATAAGCGAACTAATTATGTGTAAATGTTTGGATTAAGACTCTCAGAGAAATTTCTTCGGTTATGTCACACCTGCACGTGCATGTGTCAGGTTATATAAGATTAGTTGGCACGTGCCTTCGTCAAACTTCCTTGCACGAAGATATTGGTCTGTACAGTTTGTATGATAGCACTACACAACCGTGTTTTCTCTCTCGTAATTTTCCTCATCTAGCGATAAGAACTTAATGGTAAGACTTCCCTGAAAGAGAACTTTTACTTTGAGCGGAATGTAATCAACATGGCGGAATCAACAACTACAGAGATCGAGGGCGAAAGAATATGTCGCACTCCATCCGTGTCTCTAAGCACAACCAAATCGAAGGGGCAAAAAGTAGGTTTTTATTTTTCTTTCGAATAGATTTTCGATATTATAAGAACAAGCAGAGGTGTTTATGTAAAATTCTCGAAATTATTTTCGATTCAAGCCTTGATACTTTGCTTATAACTCTAGGTATACCTGTTCGGTTTGTTACTTTTATACTTTACACGTAATCACGGCCCTAGGTTAGATTCTCAAACATGTACCGCAAACGATGGACACTTCATTAAATTATTGGCACCAAACTGAATAAGCGTTTGTGCCTGTAATGTTCGACATAAGACAAGGGAAACAACAATTGTAAATATATAGTCTGTGTTGTCTTCGGCTAGTATAGAAATATATAATATATAGAGTAATGTATTAAAAATGATCTATTAATATTCTCAAATATTGAGCTTATGGATTATTTAAAATCAAATGCAGTTGTCTTTCTATCTTTTGAAACAATCCATGCGATGGAGTTGAAACATTTCCCGCTCTAAAGTAATAAAATCGTTTTACTTCAGATTTTGTTTAAAATTTGCCATTTTTTGTTGACCTTCAGATGGAATATTCTCATAGACTTGCTGAGAAAAGACGAAGGGATCGAATGAATATCAGTATTTCCGAAATTGCACAGATGTTGCCTTCCTCGTCGGTCTCTAAGCAGGTATGTTAACTGTTTCGGCTGCCATCACAAATTGTAAATACATCTATTTAATCATGTTTATTCAATACTTTAACACCGTTAGGTTTATTGTACTGACCAATCAACGATCCAGTTTTTAAAATACTTTCTGTTTGGGTCATGTTAGTTGTTGTTATTATTATCACTATTCACGGAGTAGTAATCCATGAAATTTATGTGTATCGGTCCTGAGTGCAGAGGATGTTTTAACGTCTGCTATTAAAACTACCACCTACTGATCCCAAGTGACAGGTCATCTGTTTACACTAAAAACAGAACTACCATTTAAGTTAATGTTAGTCTCCTTATTGGATTTGATATGCAATTGTTAATGTAGTGTTGGAAGCATACTGGATATAGTCTTTGAAGGATCTACTGGATGGTCAGGCCATTCTCTTAATTTTTAAGCATCATACTAGTTAAGTATAACTATTACACTAGCGTCAGAATAAAGGCCATGGCATGGGTGAAATTCCATTAATTTGTCGTAAAGTAATTAAAATACATCTATGATGTGGAAATAGCACACAGGTTTGAATCCTGTGTAATTTTAATTCTTTGTTTGCATTACTTTCAAGCTGGAGAAAGCTGAAATTCTTGAAAAGACCATAAGTTATATTAAAACACTTCAAGGCCTTACTGGAGATGCAAAGACAACCTGTGACACTAAGATTTCAAAGGCCAAAGGTGAGTCTAAATTTTGTAGCTTCTTTATGGTCATTAATAAGCAAAAGCTCTTAAGTCTAAATATGATTCTCTAGATTAGTTCTATAATGCTTATCATATGCTTGGACACATACTTAGGAGTCTGTTTAAATGTTCACATAAATGAGGTATTTTAAGTAGGGGAAATAATGGCAAGATATATATGGTTCTCCCAAAAAATTACATTATGTTTATGTTCAAAGGGAAAGAAATACTTGTCAACTTTATTCATTTATGATAGTAGTGACATAGATATGTTATTTTCCATTTTGTTCTTTTCTTTTTAATCAAGAAATAGTAGTAAATTATTACAATGTGTGTTTTGTGATACTAAGGCTCGTGGACTGGATCAGGTATCTGGTCGCTTCATTCCAAGTCACTATGTTCCATCTCATGAATGGTCATTTTGTTCCACAAAATAGACAGTTTATTTCACAAAAGAGTCACACTGTTCCACGAACAAATAGTTGGAAATAACAGAAGTCAAAGAAGGTCAAAGTAGCTAGAACATAATAGCAAATACAATTCACCTTGTTGTGCAATTCAAATTGCCTGTTTGAACACTCACCTTAGCCTCCTATCATGCAATCACCCAGCACACAGTACAGTTGATGTTTCTATCCTAAAATATTTACCTTTATTATTACTTTACCATTTTATCCTTAAAGCAGTTAAGACTTAAAACCCCTACAAAATTTTTTTTCTCCTTTTTTTGTAATTTCACCCTTTAAAACCCACGCACGCAAATTGATACTTTTCTCACTTAAATCAAATTGAATTAAAGGACAGACCTTGGTTAGAATGTACATGATACCTTGCAAAGAGAAACTAAAAAGTAAAACATAGTGAATATACCAAGAAACAAAGTGACTCTTTCATGGAACAAAGTGACCACTGCATGGTACAAAGTGACCATTTCATGGTACAAAGTGATCATTTCATGGTACAAAGTGATCATTTCATGGAACGAACTGACTATTTTGTGGAACAGAGTGACTGTTAGATGGAATGAAATGACCATGGAACAAAGTGACCGTAAATCCAGGATCATCTTTACAGCTTTTGATCAACACCCCTTCACCTCTTTCCTCTGCTTCATAGCAAGGACATTCAAAATATGTTCATCTGTGACCTTTGACCACAGCAAATGATGTCATCTTAACTGGAACATAGCCTAAAGTTTAAAATCCTTGGTGTCAAGACTTACATTAGAAAAGTGCACTGTTCTATACCTATTAATTGGAATATGAATATTTCTTTTAGAAAATCAAAATGTCATGGAACCACAAGAGAGCCAACCCTCTACCTCACAATTAGACATGAATTCCAAGTATTACAATGGATTTAGTGACTGTGTCAAGGAGGTGTTTCACTGTCTTACCAATGTTGAAGCCATGGACATTGAGCAGCCTTGTTTTCAAAGACTCATGCGCCATTTGCAGACTGAGCTAGAAGTTTTGTGTAAACAAGTGGACTTAGTTGGCTCTGATGATGACTACAAAGACAAGTTTTCAAAGGCTCTTCTTGATTTATGGCAGAGCAAAAAAAGCCCTGAGAACATTGAAAACCCTAATAGCCAACACAAATCCTCCAGTGGGGAGCCTGCTTCCAAACGGGCCCGTCGAGATTCTGATAAGAATTCATCCAGTGATGGTCACGGAAGCAGTTTTTCACTTGGTACAGTGAGTAGCAGCTCAAACAAGGAGAGAAGGAAAGTTACCCTGGGTACAAACTGTATCTGGGATGAAAATGGAAGCAATCCAGCAAACACGAGAAGCAACAGCAGTGTTGAAGAGAAAGAAAAAGATCCAATCCCCAACTCTTTCAAAAAGGAGAGTGGGAACAATTACGACAAGGCCAACTGTGATGCTAGTGGTTATGTACGTTGCAGCATGGGTTTGAACTGTAAATGGCCCAGCCATGGTCTTGATAACCTAATTCAAGCCACACCCATTTCACCTCGAACCCCTTACATTCCTAATCCTTACACTTTGCCTACCTATGCTCTACATCCATCTGGCACCCACTTTATCCCGGTGGTTCTTCATTTGAGTATTCCTTTGCCTCCATTTCCTGATACAAATGGACGTTTGAACCCAGTACCAAATGGATATCTTGGTGCATTTAACCAGATGAGAATGGGGTATCCTCATTTCCCATATTTTGCCGGTTTTCCCTTTTCACCACACCTCACCACACCTTTTCAGCATGGTGGCCAGAATCCTAAGGATGAGTCAGGACAGAAGCAATATCAGTCTAAACAAAGGGATCCAGATCCTTCAAACACTAATCATGAACATTTGTCAGCTAATGCCTGTACAAATCAAGAATTGTCAAACACTGTTGAGTAGACAGGTTGATTATTTATGTTTTAATTAAGGAATTATGAAATAGCCCTGCTCCATGTTGACATTTTATGCTGTACCTGAATATGCAGATAACGGAATATGAATTCTTTGAAGCTGACCATTATTGAAAAGCATATGCAAATTTTTCTTATATTCAGTAGAACTGGTCTATGGAAAATGGGGTGTCATCCTCCCTTGAGAATTTCAGAGCAAGACAGGCTTGAACTTACAATTCAGAGAAGGAGTGGAATTTAATACAATTTGATATTGCAAGTCAGTTTGGACTTGAAGGCTGCAAGTTTGAATCTATAGCATCAGAAAATCCTGGTGATTATTGCTTTAAAGGAGGTTCCTCTAATGACAAAATGCTGCCCTTTTTTTTAAGTCTGCAGCTCACTCATAGAGCCAGTATCCTTTCAAAGATATGTGCTGCCAGCAACTGACTGGTTTACACTATTACAATATCAAAGAAAGCAATTGAGTCCTAAACTCTCAATTAAATTGTTACTCTAAGGACACTCAGAGACTTAGGTAGCTGAATGTACTAGTATGTGTTTGTTCGTTACATTTCTCCTGTTGTGCATTGCCATATATACCTACCGGGGTATATGGATATATAATTGTATATAGAAATTTATATCTAATCCTGAGTTGTACATTATAGTCACCAGGATTCACACATTGTGTTTTCCAGCAAATGAATTGTATCTCCATGATTTGTTTATCAAATGCTGCATTTACGCAGTAACTCATGGAAGGTGCGAGAGAGGACACTTTGTTACTGTGCTGCCAGCATCTGGCCAGTTAACACTAACTTGAACTGAATGATGGTTACTGATTTGAATATTTGTAGTTTAATTATGTGACCTTATTGACATGCTTAGACTTAAATTGGGAAGCTGAATATTCCCTAAGTCCTCCTCGTGTCTCTTGACAGAAGGGTGAAGAATATGTAAGGCTGTAAATAGTATGCATGTGTAGTGTTTTGTCAAGGTATGTATTGAGCGAGCAGCTGCATGCCTCTGCTCATTAAACTCGTCCAATTGTTATGCAATTAATTTACAGTGAGCTTTTTTATCACTGCAACCCAGACTGAAGAGCCAAATGCATGGTCCACACGTCACCCACTAGATTGCTGGCTAAAGTGAAATATACCCGCTATGACTTAATGTTACAAAGAAATATTAAGACGTTATGTATGACACGATGCAAGCTTGTTTGAAACCTTTCCTCTCTATTGTAACTTAAAAAGAAGTGGCTCTTACTGAACAGGTTGACGAGAAGGGTAAAGACTACGAGATAATTACTACACAAATTAAAGCGGAGAGAGTAACTTGGTTACTTAATAATAATCATCAATTTAACCCCAGCATCTATTTCAATCTGAGTTACTTAATACCGTAAAAGAGCAACTATTTTTGTCGTGCACCCCGTCCCAGATCAAAATGTTAAGTAAGTAGAACCTTCACAAATGGATACCTTACTGGCTTACAGGTGCATGATCCTTACCTAGAGGACTCATTTGGCAATGATACACGTACCCTGCAAACAAAACCATGATTCCAAATACCAGCGCTGAATTACCCACGGCAGAACAAAAACGCGACAATTAACTGCCCACTATGATATTGAGTTCACCTCTTGCTATAACTTAACCATTGATATACGAATACCGGGGTATCTTTTGTCGTGGAGTCTACTTAACAATTTCAGAACGATCGACATACCTTTGGGCGAGAGCCATTTTTAATCCCATGACTACAACAAGGTCTTGTAATAAGACACGGCAAGGCACAAGATCACGGCAACGAGACAATTACAAAGGCCTGGGAACTACACAGCAGACGATTTCGGAAGACAGCCTGCACTAGTACAATAATATTGTGAGCTGAAAGAGGAAGAAGATATTTAAGCTCGTTTTTCAAGGTGAATTTATTTAGTCCTTGAATGATTTTACCTTGGAACTTCCCAAGGTAGAGTGGGGGTATATCCTGTCAACAATTCTCGCTAGGTCACGAAGTGCATGTAGGTTTTTGTGTTTCATGTCGCAAAAATTTTCTTAAATGTTCTTTAAAATGTTCTTACACTGTTCGTAAATGCTCTTCTTTGATTTTCACCTGCGCTTGTTTCAGATCCTATATCCAGCTTCCCCGGCATGGGAAGACAAAGTTGATGTGGAATGCAAGAAGGCTCAGTTTCTGACTGTGATAGCGCTGCTGCACTTTGTTTTAGTCAGTCCGTCTATAATTCGTCCATTTACAACTACGACACATCGAAAAGTTAGATACTAAGTTAACACTCGCATGAATAAACGTCCAGAAGTATTTGATACTTTTTAAAGTATGTATTATTGATCTCTTATTTATTCCCATTTACACAAATTATGGAAACAGATAATGGCAGTTTTCGACGATATCTTAACGACAGGTTCACCAAAGATAAGGAATCAAAAACAACACGAGATAACGACAAAGTAATCATCGTTTGGATCCCGATATTTCCTCAAGGTTATAAATGAAAGGAAAAGTTTTGCATCATGAGCGAGCGCATGTCCAAGGTGGTCATTTATAGTGAACTTATGACCAAAAAGTTGCCGACGTTTTTGTCGCGTTTGAATGAAATAAGTAAAGATTGCGAAAAAAAAGTACCAGTCTCTGAATCGTTCTGAAGTAATTTAACGTTTTAAAGAATGATGGATTTAACTCCGTGATTGTGAGGGTGAAATGTGCGAGTGTTTGGAATACGGTCGGTATTTTCCTTTCGTGACCACGGCACGGGCTTCTCGGGATAAAGCAAGAGATTTTAATCTATTAAAATGAATGAAAGCGTCACGCGTTGTGTGACGCGGTGTTGCGCGAGGAACCGCTGAGAATTTGAACGCGTTGTATGGAATAGCATGGGGAACAAAATATGGTCGAACTGCAATGCTGAAAATTCCGAATTGTGAACATTTGCACGTAAGATCGATAAAATTTACCCACTCATTGCGTGTCCATTGTGGTTTTCAGCGATTTCCGCCGTTTTGGGCTTACAATGGTATAACATTGATGGTAAAACATCAGTGTTATACCATCACCGTTATTAAAAAACTGGCACATTGCCCCTGAGTTTTCGATAAAATCAGAGTCAATGTACCGGTTATTCAAGCGTCGTTCCAGCGGGCCACCACCGCGTCCGACAAATTGATTGGTAGTCAGCACTACAGGCGTCACAAAACGACCTAAACGATTTACTGAGATAACTGATCACTTCATGAGCAATGTCATCTATTGACACAACTTGCACTTATTGCAAAAGGATATACATTGATGAAATAGAAAGATAACTAATCGACCGATTCCGAGAACACCTTTGCGACGTAGAAAGGAATGTCAAGGACGCATCCAAACCAGTGGCTAGACACTTAATCTGCTTAATCATTCTAAGCAGCACATGGCAGTCTGCGGCCTTTCCTTTCATCGAGCCAGTCCGGAAAGCCGCAAAACTAAATATGAGCAAAACATCTACTTTTCGAGACTTTTATTTAATTAGAATTATCCCCTCGTGGAACAATATTCCAGTTGATGCTAGGCAGTCAGAGTCCCTTGGCTCTTTTAAGCGCAAGCTTAAGGAGTTTTAATTTAACAGACTCTTAAATGTCTTCGATGGCGAAAATTATCGCACTTTTAAAATGATGTGTCCTAAATGTCCTCGGATAAATACCCACTTGGTTTGCAGCTGTTAGTTTCTAGTTATTGTCTTCTTTTTGTGTAAATGTATTAGATTTAGGGGATAGAGGGGATAGGATGCGTAGTTTTTGAGGGTTGGGTTGGTATTTAAACCTAGTAGGGGACTCATGTCCTATTGTTTATATACCAGTACTTTGTATAAATCCTTGAATAAATAAATAAACTCTGGAAAAAAAATTTATTTTTCAAATCTGCTTTCTTAATCCTCACGGTATCAACGAACGCTTTTCATTCAACTAATTTATATATTATTGTTTTTCTTCTTACAAACCATGTTCCCGCCAATAGCGTAGCTCAATTTTCTGCATATAAACATACACACAGCCCACAATTCCTCCATTCGCTCTGACGAAAGGCAAACGCCCGAGAAGTCAGCTTTCAAACTATTTACGATGACCTATTTACATTATCAACTCAGTTGATATAACTAAAATTACCTTGTTATACTCCCCCACCGACACAGCACCACTGTTTCTTGAGAAACTTACGCTCTTTACTCAGTTTACTTACTTTTACAGGAAAGATATGCCTCAATCGAACTTTGTTACCCACTTCAGAAATACACGATTCAGCAAAATTTAACTTGACTGAAGAGGAAGAACTTTCTCAGTTAGAATTGTTAACATTGCAAAAGTTTGACGACGAAACTACTCAAGGAATTATATAAAGCGAGGGGTTTCAATAAGAGAGTAATGACCAAAAATTTCGAATAAAAACAAAGAGATACTCATCAGTATGCTCAATTAACTTTGGACGGAAAGTGGTATTTTGATCTGGTGAGCTTGAATTTTAGGAAAAGATTCAAGAAAATAGGGAAGGTACATCGTTATAAATGAACGAGTTGATGCCGATTAGAGTGAAACGGGAAAGAGCGCTAGCCAATAAGATGCAATCTTCATTAAAGAGCAAAAACTGATAACACAGCCCGGAAAACCGATGGTGACATGAAAATAGTCCATCTAAAATTGACCTTAATACAAAAGAATGTCTAGGAGTTAGACCTACCGGCTGCAAATCTTGACTGCATGCATATTGGCAAAGTTTCTTAAGAATATACATAAAATCAGTGGGGATGGTTATAAATCTGACATGCTACGTTTTCAGAGTAACACATAGGTTCCCATCCGATGGAAAATGTTCCTTTAAAATTCTCATCGGTAAGCAGTTTTAGGCGTTAGCATGACTGGCCATTATTTCTCAGCTGTTAGACAAGGCAGTTGTCGCCAAAAAAGCGAGATGTGGTTTGTGAAAACAGATAGCAAAGTTACTTAGAGAATCAATAGAAAACTCAGGCATTCAAAGAATCGGAGAAAACGTCAACAACCACCCTGTTTGGGAACCAAGCTCAATGAGGCTGTTTATGCCATCGTGCTAATATTCCAGGTAAAAGCGCTCAAAGTTTGCAGTCGTGCAAATCAGCAAATGACACCACTAATGACTTCGTTCCCCCTCTGCCGAACACTAGAAGATACTCAATGGCTATGCGGATTTTGTGGTTAACTGTGAAAAATCAAAATTAAACTTTCTCTGGCATTTTCATCCATCATTTATTACCCACATGTATAGTACAAGAGTACAAGTCTAGAAATAGGTGTGTAATATAGGTATTATTTTTCCCTGTTGTTAGTTACAATTTCAATCAAATATATTATATAGTACTAAAGTGCGTATAAATGTAGACATAGAAGTGACTGCGCTAGTCTTCTAATTAGTCAGACATTTATTTTCGTTAATATAACCTCCACGCTGAATCCGTTCTTCAAATTGGCGAAGACTAGTTTTTTTCCTCGGCTTGGTACCTCGGTTCCTCTTCTGACCACGTGAACCCCTGGCACGTAACCAGTTGGAGAACCATGTACCTTGGGTGGTTTTTTAAAAGTAGTGCTCACAGTGCGTGCCAAGGTGACTTCAACTTGGATCTCATTGCTTTCTATTCGATACAACTCCCGAGCTCCGATATCGCCGGAGGTTTTCAAGACTTTGCCGGGGAAATTCAGGTCGGGGTAACTGATGCTTAAAAACAACTCCCTGGGATTTTCTTCAGCCATAATTCTGCAAGGTCTGTCCACTTTTTCAACAAGTCCCCAGGAAGTAAGAGGGGTGTATGGGTTCGCCTGGAAAAAGACGTAGCCGTAGATTGGAACCACGATGTTACCACGTTCAGGGGAAGTTTCAAACCGAACCACATGAGCCTCATCGTCTTGCTTTAAAACCCTGTAAAGCTTAGAGTTTTTTACATTTTTCTGCTTTTTCCAATAATGGTCAGCAGAGAATTTATATGAAGGAGTATTTATGTGAATCGCGTACTCGTAACTCCCATCTCCTCCACTGTGCTCAAGCCAGGCAGTCCCGTAGGTGCCACTGGATGGTTTAGCCGAGGACGTTTGCGAGTTTTGTGTTTGTACATGAACCTTAAGATTGGATGCACTTGATCTTGGAATGTAGTAGCTGTTGCCTTTGGTATCCACCAAAGTGGTATATTCCTTTGGTTTACTTGAAGAAGATGGGATCAAAATTGGGGTCGTGGCTGTAAAAGGAGTTGAATCATCTTTGAGCTCACCGTCAACTTTAATGGACGAGCTGTCACTTGTGAGCTTGTCTTGAAAAAGGGTCGTCTGAGCCATTGTTGCCCCGCC